CCAAACACACACACACACACACACACACACACACACACACACACACACACACACACACACACACACACACAGCAGGCAAGTGGGAAGGGATGGAGGCGTGTGAAGGGTTCTGCTACATTTGCCAAGCCGCCCCCTTTATAAATCATTAAGTTCAACAACAAACAGCCTGCATACTCAAGGACAACAAGCTGATGGAGAGAGTGTGTGAGATGGAATAAGAGGAGAGACGCTAAAAAGATGGCAAACGAACATTTGAGCGAGACCATGTTTCGGTTAGACAAGCTAGTCCATGTTCAGTGCCAGATGAGCTGAGAATAACATGATGTGGCAGTCTGATTTTTAAAGTCCCCATGAAAACAAAATTGAAATTTTTGGCTTTTAGTATGAATATGTTAGCCTTAGTTATCTATAAGCTAATGTGCTCCAAAACGATGACAAAATTCGTATTTAGAAGATATAAGCATTCAAATCTTACACAGTCTCTCACTTCCAGCAATATGAATCAACGGTTTTGATGACATCACCCTTCACTTCAGCTTCTCATCAAACTTTTTGTAGTTATCTATAAGCTAATGTGCTCCAAAACGATGACAAAATTCGTATTTAGAAGATATAAGCATTCAAATCTTACACAGTCTCTCACTTCCAGCAATATGAATCAACGGTTTTGATGACATCACCCTGCACTTCAGCTTCTCATCAAACTTTCTGTCCAATCAAATGCTCTCTAGAATCTGAAATGTCCCGCCCCCTACACTATAAATAAACACTGAAACTGTGGCTGAAATAGGTCACTTGTTCACAGAATTAGTATTTTCTGTATGCTGAAATGCACGTAGTGCACAATATGGGGAGTAAGGAACGATTCAGACAGTGTAAATATGCTTTCCATTGGGACGAAAAAAGTCTGGTTTCGTGTTGTGTTGTGTACACGAACCGCCGCAGCGCACACACAGTCTGCGCCGGTCCAGAGACACAATATCACGGAGCGGCTCATATGCGCGAGTCGCACATACCACAAAATGTATCGGACCCAGTTGAATTCTACACAGAATGCTATATTTTATAGCGATTTGGATCAGATTAGGAGGAGAAACGGTTAGACAAACGGCACTAACAAGTAGAAGAGATAACACCGGTGCCCTACACCAACATAAATTACACAATTTTCAAACTACACATCCTCAGCATCATTATAATCACTGTTTTGCTTTAGTAACAGTTTCATATTGAATCTAAAGGGCTAATCTATTAGACTGGCTGTCATAAACTAAACACTATAAACGAAACGCTATTGGCTATTTAAAAAGGTCTTCCCGTTTCAGTTGAAATTACGTCACCACATAGCATAACGCTGCGTGTTTCAAGGCACTTCAGTAGACCTTTAAGACACAGAAATTCAGATAGTTAAAAACGGAGAAAGAATTGCTATTCAACCCAAAACCTGTGCTCTGTCCCTACTGATGTTTAATTCAACACACACTCACTGACCAAACCCTCAACATCCCTCCTAATGAGACACGCACACAGATGGACAGACAAAAGCAAACCCATCTGGTAAACACACACAGGCACACGTGCCCACACACACAAACAGAAGTCTGTCTCTGCTGGAGGTCAAACGGGTAAAAAGCTTGTTTGCCGTTCTTGCTCCTGCTCCTTGTTCTCAATCCATCAGCCCTTTCAGTCTCTCGCTACGTTCACGCGCTGTCACATTAGCCATGACAGAGTGACTCTCTGAATGAGTGCAGGACCACAATTCTATATGTTCCTCTCAAATGTCCTTGTGTGTATGTGTGTGTATAAAATCTCACCATTAGCCATATCTCTGGCACCTTTCACCACAGATCTGAAGTTGCCCATGTCTTTTTCCCAGCCAGCTGCCTGCGTCTCACACCGATGCGCTTTACTCAGAAACTGTAGTGCCTACAAACACACACATCAAAACGTAGTTAGACTTTGTGACCAAACCAGATGTAAGGTAGTAAAGCGACAACCAATAAAAGCTATGTCTTCCATGTAAAACTGAGTTTGTCAAGATTAGTTTGCGTTTGTAAATCACTATATTTTTATAGGTGCAGCACCATGCTACACTCTCAGAAAAAAAGGTACAAAAGCCGTCACTGGGGCGGTACCTTTTCAAAAGGTACACTTTTGTACCTTTTAGGTACTAATATGTACACTTTAGGTACTAATATGTACCTTTAAGGTACCAATATGGACTCTTTAGGTACAAAGGTGTGCCTTTTGAAAAGGTACCGGCCCCAGTGACAACTTTTGTACCTTTTTTTCTTAGAGTGTAGAAAGCCCACTGTGAAGTTTCAATGATGAAACTTTGTGCTCTTCAAGCTATATTGACATACGCATTCTATCCAAAAAGACTTACAGAGCATTCAAGATATATATTTTACCAGATGTCTTGGGGATCGAACCCATGAGTGCTTTACCTCTACACTGAAAAAATGTAATGTAGAAATAATTTTCACTCAGAAATGGCTAGTAGATTTCATAAACAATTAAAAAGAAACTGCAAATAACACATTGAATTAAATGATTTTTTAAGTAGAAACAACTGCAAAATAATTTTCTTGTAAACTATTAATCTTTGTTTTATTTGCAAATTTAAGTGAAAAAAAAACACAGTTTACAATCTACAAGTACTGACAAAAACTGTTAATCTAATATATTCATGATAAAATAGATTAGGGAGCAATATTTGCTTGAAAACCTTAGTCTGCTGTAGAAGAATCACAGGTGCTTCTTTTCTTGGATTAAGTTACTGAATGCAGAAAAATAATAATTCTAGGCACTTCTTATAACAAAAAACAAAACAAAACAAATCAACAAAACAAAACTCACCTTTTCGCTGTCTTCTACATTGTTGCTATGGCCATCGCCATAGAGACGAGCGTACTGCTTCCATATTTGGGCGTCTGTGCTACAACGGGCGGAGACTCGACCAAAAAGTTCCTGCAGTTTGGCTTTAAGATTGGAGGCCTGTTCGCCGCGGTGATCAGTCAGATTGTCCACTACCGCACGCACCAGGATTTCCAGCACCTGATGGGAAAAACAAAAGACAAAGAGAAATAAACTAAATGCTAAAGGATTTACCTTTTAGTAGGGTAAAACTGATGTTTAAACTCAAGAACCAATCATGAATATCCAATCTGAAAACTAATTTAGGGTTGACATTTACCCTCTGCTGAGCCTGATCCCAGCTCCTGACTTAACCTTAGCTATGAAGTCAAAACACAAATCCCTAAACTTGACCTCTGCATTCTTAGATGTTCCTGGCTTGTGCATCACTTTATTTTTAACTCTTTCTTACATTTATACTCTATGATGTTCCTTTTCTCTCTTAGTTTCCACCCTCTATTCCTTAACCTTTATTCTGTCCTGACCATGTGACAGCCCAAGCAGCTCTTTGCATCTTCAACACGCACACTCTCTCTCTACATGCCACCAACAGAGCTGGGATATTAGAGGCGCTGTTCTCACTCAACCACACAAACAAATGCAGACACTCCAGAGTCTGTACATGTGCCAGAGAAACCAGAACGAGCCAAAAAGTTCAGACTTGACCCTCTCTGTCTGGAGAAGTGTTTTTATGACTCTCTCTCTTACACTCACTCAGAAATTGCAGTTTATACCTGGATAGTAAGTAACTGCATTTTGATAAACTTTGAGGTTTGCCAAAAAAAAAACAAAAAAAAAACACAAACATAAAAAACGTGGTTATAAGTGTTGTTCATATGTGTTTTGACTCCGTTTACACTTGCATTTAGCGCGGTCTAACTCAGATCACCTGAAACAGATGTTAATACCAGAGTCTGTGAAGCCTTCAGTAAGGTGTGACTAGTCAGAAGTTTTCTGATTCCCTGGAGGGAAGCTGTTAAAAGTGTGTGTGTGTGTGCCACAGAGACAGAGAAGGCTTTCTCCTCAAACTAAAAAATCTAAACTAAGCACACCACACCCTTAAACTTCACTAAATTATCAGAATACTTGACCTGAATGCTGGGCTCCACATTCCTCTGTGTGTGTGTGTTTGCGGGGGGGGGGGCATTGCACAAAAAAAAAAAAAAAAATGTTTTGTTCTTATTATCAGTACTGAAAACAGTTGTGCTGTTGTGCATAATATTTTTGTGACTATGATACATTTTCTAAGATTCTTTGATGAATAGAAAGTTCAAAAGAAAAAAACATTTATTTGAAATACAAATATTTTGTAACAAATGTCTTTAAGGTCACTTTTGATCAATTTAATTCATCCTTGCTAAATAAAAGTATGATTTTATTTACATTCAATTATAAAAAAAAACTTTTGAATGGTAGTAGATTTTAACCTACAATTCTTTATTACTTTTTTATATTTTTGTACTCATTTCAATATCAGGAATTACGAGGTGGGCAATGTTCTTGATGCCTAATCATTATTTACAAAACTGGTTACTGCTATTAATGCAATTTGTATGCTTTATTGTGAAGTGTTTGCTAAGACCATAAAAGTAATACAAACACAACGGGGTTATGATTGACAGCTTCACCATGAGTAATGATGTCACATTCTAAGCATTCCAGAGCACTTCAGTTCACTTCATCAGCAGCTTTTTTTCCACAAGATGAAAGAGGGAAAACATACCCCAATTTACTTTACATGCTCCATTTATTTCCTCATGTGTGTGTGCTTGTGTGTAGCAGTAATAATGACGGCTCTTGAACAGACAGAGAAAGCAACAGACATGCAGCGATATGTGTGTGTAACTCAGCCAAGACTAATGCTCACACTTTAACTGCAAAGACTGATAGAAAGCAACTTCATCCGAGTAAACAGCCTCCACACAGATCAGTGTGTTTTTTATGTGGCTCTCATGACAGTGTGTCTGTGTGGTCACATCCTTCACGAAAGCATGAAATATACAGCACGCATTCCTGAAGTAAAAGTTCATCCTTCATCGCCTTTCTCTTTCCTTACAGCTATCACTTTTTCATCTCTCCTGATTCTTTCATTCACCTCTGGACCCCTTCCGGCTGCTCAGCAGATGAGCGCTGAGATCTTTGTCACCTAAGTCAGTGGTGTAATATCTGTAAGCTCTCCTCATACTTCCTCCAGAGGCTTTGCCTCTGAAATCTAATTTTTCACCCTAGAGATCCTGATAACCACATTTCTACCTCAAATTATTTGGTCATTGGCCATCATCTCAACACCACATGACAAATTCACTTTTGTATACAATTTGAACAAAAACATTTGTCATTGGATTAAATTTTTAAAAATAAAATGTTTTTTTTTAATAGAGATGATTATACTATCTATATACACACTACATTTCAACTTTTTTTTTTCTTTTTTATTTTTTAAGAAATTAACATTTTTATTCAGCAAGTATTAATGCAGCATTAAACTGATGAAAAGTGACAGCAAAGGCATTTATAATGATACAAAAGATTTATATTGGAAAAAAAAATGCTGTTCTTTTGAACTTCTATTCATCAAAGAACAATTCTAACAAATTAGAACGATTTCTGAAGGATCATGCTGAAAATTCAGCTTTGCCATCACAGGAATACATCCATTTTTAAAATATTTAAAAACAGAAAAAAGTTATTTTAATTGTAATAATATTTCACAGTAGTAAAGTTGTTAACTATTTTGATCAAATGAATGTTGCCTTAGTAAGCATGAGAGACCTAGGTAGCATTTTATTTACTAATTTATGCATTTTAGGGCAGGAAAACTTTTAGATATTGTGAGTTTGCTTTTTATTGCTCATGTTTAGATAACAAAATGTGTTATACATTAAATTGTATTATTTTTTTTAAAATTAAAACAACCCTATTTTTGCACCCATTAATCCATCAATTTTAAAATTATACACACTTTAAAAATCTAAAATAAAACTAATAACAAAATAGTCAGGATGGTATCTGTGACTGTCCACTGGTCATGTGGAACATGTGAAATGACTAAAAGGGCTAACTGGATAAGACTCCGCCCCCTCATGATGGGGGAAGTGATATGTTTAAGGGGAAATTTAATGGGTGTGTGGGTGTAATTCCTGCACGATCCCCTTACAGCGTGAAATTAAGGAGATTCCCAGGAGAAACGAGGGAATGAAGAATGGTACTGAGAGAGAGAGAGAGAGAGAGAGAGAGAGAGAGAGAAGAGGACACTTGATCCATCTTTTTTTTTATTTCGGGATGAGGAAGGATGGTCTCTCTTTTCTCTGTCTCTGTGGAATGTGAATTAATGGGTGGGATCAAAGACAGAGAGACTGGTCTTATGACTGTATACCAAGATGTCCGCACACAAGCACAGCATTTCCCTTATTAACAGTTGCTCTCATCTAATTTGCCACTAACACGCATCTGAAGGGTTTCTGTATGGAGAGAGAGATGATGAAGTGAGAAAAATTGAACAGTAGAGAGTGAGTGATGATTTTGAGTCCAGCCAAGCGCCCAGATCCCAATTACCGTCTGAAACTCTCACTGGGGCTGGAGGCGAATGCTAGCGATGACCTTTTCAACTTCTGTGCTTTCACATCAACAACTTTTAATTGATGAGCTACTAGCCGCTCACCAGACGTAAAGGAACAATCCGAAAAATTGAAAACTGGGGGGAAAAATGGGAAATGAAGTTAGAAGTGACAATGTAATGAGGGATAATGTATAGGTGTACAGCCTACTAATTTAAAACCTATCTAGAAGGCAAAGCGTTACAAAACATGGTTGTGTGCGTGAAAGCAGCTTTGGGATGCCATCATGAAATGGGAACATATCTGTGCCCCTGTGACCGTTAACCCCAACACTTCCAACATCTAAACATTTGTTTGCTCTTTAGAACATCAGCTTTTTTTGGAAGTTTTTTCCAAGTAAAATAAAAAAGTAATTGTGAAATAAAGTTTATAATAAAAACTCTGATCTAAATATATAATAAATAAGGGTGATCCTTTTTCCAACTCAGTGATTCTGGTCTTTCATTTTTTTTTCTGACATGTTGGTGTTATATCTTTCACTTGGATGCTATATAATTTATTTCAAGACTTTTCTACCCTGAAGTTCATTTTAACTTAAGATCCACCAATCAGCAAACACATCAGAATGAAAGAGATCAGCATGAAACATTGTGAATGATTTAATTAATATTAAATCTCTTCTTATATATATATATACTACCGTTCAAAAATCTGATTCCACAGGATGTCTCCTTTCAACATAATTGCTATGAATTAGAGGCTTCCTCCAGTAATATGCAGTTTCCTAGTGCATGTTTACACTAATTTTTCATTTTTTTGCTAAAACTAAAATAGAGTGCAAAACTCATTTGCCACTTGCTCAGACACAGCTAGAGTTTTCAGATATTTTGCACCATTCACAAAGTAGGAGGTGGGTGTTTAAAAATTAGAGATGCACAAAACAGCTTCTTTAAGGTGCAGCCATAATTCCTGGGAAAATAAAACATAATTAACTGCCACCATGGTGACCCCGGAGGGGTGCTCCTTTTTCCAACTCATTGATTCTGTTTTGTTTTTTTCCCCTGACATGTTGGTGTTACATCTTTCACTTGGATGTTATAAGTTGCACTGAGAAAATACAACTGGATAAAACAAAAACTGTGTCCGTCTTCCTTTCAGGCTGCAAAGCAACAAAATGTGATTATTTAAAGGGGGGTGATTCTTTTCTGTACCTACTGTAAAATCACAATTGCTAGAATTAGTTGTAAGGACGTTAAATCAAGTCACACTGCAAGAAATAAAACGTAAGAAATGTTTAAGAAATAAGAAGAACATTACATATTTTTATATATTTTTTAAATAAATGCTGTTCTTTTGAACTTGCTATTCATTAAAGATGAAAAAGTATCAATATTTCCACAAAGAAACTAGCAGCAATATTTTTAACATTGATAACAAGAAATGTTTAGAATTAGAATAATTTCTGAAGGATCAGAATGTAATATGAAAATTTATATATATATATATATATATATACAGTATATATATAGGCAGATGGATGAAGAGGCCAAAGCAGTAAGAAGCATCTGTGATGTCAGCTGAAAAAGAAACAAGAACAAGACATTTTCTTAAAGATTAAGGAGGTAAACAACTACCAGGCAATTTGACTACCAAATGATAAAACAAATGACGCATTTAATAGGATGTAGCAGCTGGTGCATCAACCAGCCACACACAAACGTGTCTAATGGCATAGAGCTTTAAGACGTGTGTTATAACAGCAGCGCTATTAGATCCACAGATGACAAAGGAGAAGTGTGATGGGGCCATGGATGCAGAGAGACATACGGGGTGTGTTTAAAACAGAGCTGTCTGGATGAAAGTGAGCAGGCAGAAGCCCATCTGTGGTAAGAATTACATTGCGAGTATGAATATATATTCATACATATTTGGGCAGATCAGGGTGAAATCATCTCTCTCTTCTCTCACACAAACATTCACTCATCAAATCTCACTTACACACACACACGGCCTCTCACACAACTGTTTCATCTGTGCGTGCAGTTGGGCAGCTGTTGAGCAGTGATGACAGCAGTACATGATACACAAATGAGACTCCAGCTGCTTTACACTGGTTACACAAGCCAGAAAAAAAAGTCGCTTAAAACACTTAATCTGATGAAAACATTCTGAAAATGTATGTAAAAAGAAAGAGTTTGGGGTTAACCTGAGAAAAACTGTGAGGCTGACTCACCTCCACATCCTTGTATTTGTCCTTGAGGTCCATGAGCCGATGGTAGGCTCTGATAGCCTCACTGAACTCGCCCAGGTCTACACACACAGCAATGAAATTCTCCCAGATCTGCCATCGCTCATAATTACACTTGAGCGCTTCCTGAAGGGTGCGGAATGCTTTCTCCCTACCACACACACACAAAACAGAAAGATCAGTGTGTTTAGCAGAACTACTGTTAACAGAAGTTGCTTGCTTGCTTGTGGATGTACTGTAGTATTAAATAGCGTATGGCTTAACATAGTAAAAACATAGTAAAAAAAGTAGTTTTATGTTCTCCCTTCCAAAAACTGGTTTTGGCAAACTTGCAGTTAGCATGTGGCAATTAATAATAGTTATCATACAGAAACCTAGTGAGCTGTCTACAAAGAGAGCATTTGAGGTAGAAAGGTTGTTCTAAAAAGTAGAGGTAGTCAGCATAATTACTGTACACTACCTCATGGTTGATTCCAGAGTCTGATGTTAGCATGTTGATAAAGTTAATGGTGCAATACTCTAAACAAAGATATACTCAGTTGAAAAAAAAAAAAACGTTAACTTTATAATAACTCAAAATCCAAAAGTAAAAGCGTGAAAGTGTGAAAAGGAAAGAAAGAGAAAGAATGAAAGATAGAAAAAGAAAGAACATAGAAAAAGCTAAAGAAATTGAAAGAACTAAAGAATGAAAAGAAAAAATATGTTTAGCAAAAATGAATTAAATAAAATAGCCAAACAGCAAATGAAGGGAAAAAGAGCAAAAGAACTGAAGAGAGGAAAAGAAACAATGAGCAAAAGAAATCAGAGCAAAAGAATGAGAGAAAGACTGAAAAGGGGCTAAAGAGAATGAAAGACTGAAAAAGTGAAAGAAAGAGAAAGAAAAACAGCGAAAGAATGCAGGAATAAGAATGAGCTAAAGAAAGAGAAATAAAGTGAAACTGATGGTGACGAAGCGAAATATCTAATGACAAAGAAAAGGGAAAGAAAGAGAAACTGGTGCAAGAAAGAGCTAAAGAAAGAGAAAGCGAAACAGCAAAAAAGAGCGACAAAGCAAAAGAGAAAGAAAGAGTGAAAGAATCAAAGAAAGTGATAAATATGGATGAAAGCGAAAGAAAAAGAGTGAAAAGAGAAAAAGAAATACAGCATGAAAGAGCAAAATTGTATTGGAGTACGTTTTACAAGAAAATACAATTTAAGTCCTACTACTTCAAAATTTCATGTTAATTTGATGTTACTTGATGTTTCATTGTAATTAATTGTGAAATTTACTAGCAACTTCTCAAAGAAAATTGTTTCTACACCAAATTGTTTTTAAGAGTACTGGATCATTAGCTTAGTAAAATGCTCCGATCAAACTACATGGAATCCACTGAGTTGAGTCTCCAGTGCACCTCGTGAGAAACGTTGTGTGGCACACAGATCACTAACAGAGCATTCCAAATCAATCACTTAGTATGAGCTTTCAGTTAGCACATCGCCTGTATAGGCTGCAGACAACAATACAGATCACAAGGTTTTGGAACAGATCTGATATTTTTGTAAGCGCTGTCAACAAAAGCCTATGACACAGGGCTCGACATGGGTTTCATTGTAACATCTAAAGCCTAGTTTCCTTTGAACACATGCAGGTGGGCGCACAATCTCTCCACACACACACACTTCCTCTGTTCTGGATGGTCCCTAGGAGCATTAATCAGGTTTTAATAGAAGATTCCAAAGACTCATCTCAGGGATGAGTGCACAGAGCTAATTGGACGAGGGGCAAAGGAGAGGAGGAATCCCTCAGGTACATGCCGTTACAGTGGTGTTCCAGGAAACATCTCTGGTCCTCACAGGAAATCAGCAAAAACCTCCAATCATGTCAAGCAACAAATGTCCTAACTGGCATTTAGCTTCCAAATCTGGTTAATATTGGCCAGTTGGTAGTGTGGTGAAGTGCTGGCTCCTGGGGTAGACACAGCAAGAGCCCGGAGGAGATTTATCTTTGCAATTACAGCTGCCAAAGTCATTCCTGCAGTAATTGAAAAGCAAGGAGGCCTCTGAGGGTCCCCAGCGGATGCAGGATGAAGGAAACAGAAAAGCAGCATAAATCAGGTCAACTGGAACCTGAATAGGGGCTTATCTACAGTTTTTACTTGGGTGAGAGATAAGTGTGTGAGAGCAGTGCTAGCTATTATTTAGAAATTCACACATACGTCAAGTAGTCCATCACACTCTATCATGGGATGGGAAAAAAGATCAATAGAAGCAGTACTAATGTATCTATATACACTACAGTTAAAAAGTTTGGAGATTTTTTAAAATGTTTTTAAAAGAAGTTTCTGAAACTCACCATTTATTTGATCAAAAATAAAGTAAAAGCAGTAAAACTGTGAAATATTACAACTGTAATATTGTGATTTGTTCCTGTAATGGCAAAGCTGAATTTACAGCAGCCATTGCTCCAGTCTTCAGTGTCACATGATCCCTCATGCATCCTTGCTGAATTAAATTTATTTCCAAAAGAATCTTATTGACCCTAAACTTTTGAATGGCATTGTATGCCCCCCCTGCTGCCTTTGAAATCATAGCCCATCCAAAATACTGAAGGAAAGCTTAACTGGCTGCTTATTACTGTCTTTATTCCAAATACCACTGTTGAACAAAAAAATAAATGCTCTTAACGGATTAAAACACCAGCAAAACAAAGCTTTGTTGATGTAGCCTTTACTCTTAGCGCTTACACATATACTCACTTCATTCTCAGTTTGATGTAGGCCGTGGAGAGGTTGTTCCATGCTTCTGAATTCTAAATGGAGGAGAGTAACGATCAGAGTCAGGTCCACGGGTGAAAGTAATTTGTCAAAATAAATCATTATAAATAACTAAGAAACCAGACATCTACAGAATATTTCCTAATAGCTTGTTTACTCGTTTCCTGGATGGAGTATTAAGCCTGCCTCTTGACTACATTTGAATTTTAAGTACACCATTAGGAGTATAAGAGGCTCCTGTACTACATATAATGGTCTGTGCTTTTTTATAGATGCATAAAAGCGAATAGAAGCCTGTAAGAACAAAAACAGGGAGGCATTCGCAGACACAATCAATTGATTACGTTAAGACATAAATCATATGACAGCACAAGTACTGAACAACTAAGCACAAGCCCTTTCTTTATGATCATATGACACTGATCTCCTTACAAGGACCGTGTGACTTACATCTGGTTCCAGTCCAACGCATCTCTGAAAAGCTTTGGCGGCCCCTTCGTAGCCTTCCAGTGAAAAATACGCACAGCCCAGAGAGAACCACACACCCAACTGTGGAGATAAAAGACGGGAGAATGATGGAGTATTACTGACAAGGGCAAAAAGAAAATTGGGGAGACTTCAAGTGCTTCACTCGTCTTTTAAAGGTGTTATTCAGCCCTAAAAATTAATGATGTCTTTTGAACCCATGAACCTCAAGGAATCTGTCTCTTTCATATGTTTTAAATCAGTTTCTTTTCCCGAGTGCTCATCTTTGTATCTCTCTGGCACTCGTCTGTCTTTACTTCCATTTCTAGGCCTAAAGGCAGCATTGGCTCGGCCAGGCCCTGCGGCAGCACTGCGAGGAGGTGTTAAAGATCAAGCTGGGGTCATCAATGAGTCCCTCAGGAAAATTACTCTGTCTTCTTGCTGCCTGTGCTTCTGCATTATGGATGAAGGGAGGAATGAAAAATGAGTGTGTGGGGGGCTGTGCACCTTTTTGGTTCTGTGGTGAATGAACCTGATGCCACTTCATCCACACACTGCTGTCTCGCTGTTTTCCACTGTACTTCAGTGTTTCTCATGTTCTCTATCAGCACTCTGCCAATCTTCTCGATACAGTGCATCCATCCTTGTGATCTTCTAGAGCTTGTGCATGTGTGGTGAACATGAAAACGTAAGTTCACAAACACTGTGTTTGTAGAGACTAAGGGTTCGTTCACACTGAACGCATTTTTGTATTCCACTGTGTTGCTTTTCTATTATTTTCTACATAAAAATGACTAATATTTTAGACTGTTGGGCATGTGTCCCGCTCCCATTACACTGTTTACAACTACAATCTTGTTTCTATATAAAAGTGTTGCGTTGCACAGCAGCTCCAGCAACTTTATTGCCCGTTCATATAAAATACAATTATATTTACAGATATCATGTGAATTTCATGGCTATTTATTGTATTAAATAATGGTTGACCATTATTGTAGAAGCACCATAAAAATACTGAATCAAATTACTATGAAAGTTAAAAGATGTTCTCGTAATTTAATACTCAAACTACAGCCATTTTATTACCCCTGTCTATTTAAAATAAAATGCTATCGAATTATTTTCAAATACCACATGTGAACTGATTTTTGATAGTTGCATCAAAAGCAGGCTATGACTGTAATCAGACATTTAAATGACACTGGATGTAAATTGGATGTATGATGCTTTTAAAACTTGAGAGATTTTTTTTTATTCATGTTGCAACAGTAATGCCATCATTCGGCTCTCAAGGCAAAGGAACACTGGCCAGTACAGACAAAAGTTTGTAGAATACCCTGCATACACCTAAATCATTTCAGTAATAAAGGGGTATGGGTGGTTAATGTCTATCAGCATTTACAGGATGCTTGGGTAAGGACTATAAAGCTACGCACAAGTGCACGGCATACCTGCATGGAGTTGATTCGCAGCGAGCGTTCGAAACATTCCACGCACTGCTGGAATTCTTTGTGGCGCAGATGATGCAGAGCTTTTGACCTTTGGGCACGTGCACTGCGGTGTTTGGAAAGCTCCCATGCTCGGTCATAATACTCTGGATCCTTCAGCACGTCACCTAACAGACAGTAAAGAGATGGCGTCTCCTTTTTCTCCAGCTCACGCCTCAAAATCTCCTCCGCCTGAGAGAAAAGAAGGTACCACCAGATTGAAACAAACTTTGACAGTTTTAATCCTCATATTGGAAAATATGCACATGGTCTGAAGTATGTGGAGACCTTTTTTTTTTTTTTTTAAATATTGGGTTTGTCTAGGCCCCTTAATTCCAGTTAATATGCCACTTTATATAAAAACATTCTAGGGAATTATGTGCTGAAACTTTGTTTCGGGAGGGTCTTTTTTAATCCAGAATGACATGCAAAGAAATTTACTCAATCCTTGCTTGAAAGAACTGGACTGTCCTGCACAAAGCTGGACCTAAACCCCACTGAACACCTTTGGGATGAATTGGATCATTCAGATAATTTTGTGTCCGAATAGGAGCGACTTTCCCAAAAACTACTGTAAAATCTTTACAGAAGAATGAAAGCTGTTAAAGAGGACCAACTCTTGATTAATGCCAATGGTTTTGAAATTGGGTGTGGTGTGTGGATGTCCACATATTTTTGGCCATATAGTGCGTAGATTAAACTAATGACATAGGTATGCTGTTACATTCTTTTTATATTATTAAAAACCACACTACTAAAACGATTCCTAAAAAAGAAATTTAAAAAATCACTTCTAGAAACAGCAAGGGTCCAAAATCAATAAAACTGAAATAAAACATTTAACAAAACTACGCAAAAAGCAAATAAATAAATTCATACATAAAATAAAAAATAAGATTAGTAGATTATTTTCTACTCATTTCAAATGAGGTTTGCATTTTTTTGCTAACTCTGCAATATTTAAATTGTCTAAATATTGATTTGATAAATGACTAGTGTTTTCTAGCAATAAACATTTAAAAGACGTCAAAATTAAGTAGATAAAAGCCACAAAGATCCCAAATAAAACAGAGAAGACCGGAAACTATTTTGGGAGAGGGGTTGAAAACAGGACTGAGTCAGACTAAAACCTTCATCTATAACATGAGAAACAAGGACCAACACATCTTCAGTATGTGTGGCCACAAACCCTTATGAACATGAGAACTTGACATGGTAGGGCTCACCAGTACTACGCTACAGCCAAGAACAGCTTCTCTAAATGTAAAAGCCCATGAACTCTTTGTTTAAATCTAGCTGGCGAAATTCTGCTGCCATTAACACATACTCTTACAATCACTGTGAATGTGGCTTCACTCTGAAATACACTGGATGCTGGGCTATATTACAGTGCATCTCTCATCGGCGCCTGCCCTTCCACCCCTGCTGGTATTCATGGGAATGGATGGATAATTGGCTTTTTGCAAACGCTCAGAACTAAAGCCGTAGTGGGAGAGAGGGGGTGGGCGGCAATAAAATTCTCAGTGCTTGCCCAGCACTTCTATTTGGGTGCTTATTTATTTTCGTGGGTACACATAATTTGAGAAGTGGGAACAATATCTCTTCGTACTCCACACAGTTGTTACATAAAAAAAGAAAGCTCAAAACCTGAAGGCCCAGACACAGGATGAATAAGCTATTTACTCGGGTAAAAAAAAAAAAAAGTCTCATATTTCTGTTCTATAAGAGCAACACTGATAAGAGAAGGTAATACAGGAGAGAAAGAGAACCCCATGGTCTGACAGCACCTGAATGCTCCTTTGTTCCTCATGGCCGTTATAAACTGCACATTTCACATTGCCTACAAACAACAAGGTGCCATTGGAGCCGACCAAGGTTTGTGTAGCCCAGTCAGGCTGCAGTTTCCTCTGATGGATCTCATGACTGCCAACAACACAAATGGATGCTAATTGGGGGCTAGGTTATCAGTTTCAATGCAAATAACAGGTTGGAAATTTTAGAAAGGAAACTGAAAAATTCTGTATGTTTACTATGGTAAATTCTCTGGACTTAACTGCAAGAAACCCCAAACCCTTTAGTTAAAGCAGTAAACCTTTAGTTCTAATGTAAAGTGTTTTGTTACCAACTGTTTTCTTAACTTAGAATGACAAATGCACTTTCTACGGAATAGGGAAAACTAAAGTCCTGGGGGGAAAAATGTTTTCAATAAAAGGTCATGAAAAACTCTTCACCTTTGTAAAATATTCATCTTCAACATCAGGAGGTCAAACTAAATTTTATATATATTATATATAGCTGCTTTATCTTCTGTTCATATGAGATCTGGATTTTTTGCAATCCCATTATCAATTAAATAGACAATTTATAAAATAATTTAAAAAAATTGCAGAAACATCAAATTAGTAAAAAAAAAAATTTTGTACTACAAATTCACATTAGATAATAGTCATCTGACAGCAATCACTGCAAAAGAATTTGATTTACTGTCTTATATACTAATTAAAAAGGTAAAATGATAATAATGTAATTTAAAATAAAGTAAAAGTAGTGGGATACCAAAGTATTAATGGAAAGAGCTTTTACACAGTAAATTCCAACAGTAATCTGCAATAACTGATGCGAGCTTTCATGGGACAATAAATTGAACTCAAATCAAATAAACATCAGTACACGTCCCTCGTGCTCTGAAGATGTTCACTCATTAAATGAACACAGAATCGCATGGATTAATCCATCAGCAAAACTCAAAGCAACAAAACATTTCTTCCCACTCCAGTCTTGCTGATTTGTGTATGCACCGTTTTCTCACCTCACTTTCTCTCTGCTTCACATATTTCACTGATTTTCTAATTTCTTTCCTTTCATATGAAGCATCACTCCCTTTCGCCCGTATCGGTATTTTGTCTTTTACTTTCTTTTCTACGCATACCTGCAGTTTATGGCTTTAAGCTTTAATAAGAGTGCAGGGAAAAGTAGATAGAGGGAAACAGGGAGAGAAAGAAAGTGAGAGTCAGTATATCAGGTACTACAGTGGAGTGGATGTCAGTACATTTTTATAATATTACAGCTCAGATTGGGGGTGATTGGCTGGTTTTATTGACCTCAGATGTACCCTATAATCTGATTGGCACACAAAGAGGACGGTAACTTAATAAAGCTGTGAAATGGCTCCCAGAAATGTGCACTAACACACACAGCGAGAGAGATGTGTTGTTAGAGCATGCTGACAGGAGCTCATATAGAAAGGAAAGAAGAAGAGAGCAGGAGGAGAGATAGAGAGGATAAAGGGACGAGATAGATATGGCAAGAGGTAAAAGTAGCAATCAATCCCTCTTCAAGATCTTAAACAGAAGTCACTTTCTCTTATCCCAACTTAATATGCAGAGACTACTATGAGCAAGTCATTTGTAGGTCGATTTCCCTGAAGAGTAAACACTGTAAGGCTATTAAAACAATGATCTGTTTGTTTGAACATATCGTCCAACCCAACAGCAATACTGGCTCAACCAATGGCATGAATTTAGGGAAGTACTATTCATTTAAACTGATACTTAACTGGTTTGAAGTTTTCTTTAACAAAACATATGTGAGTAGCATACCTTGCCGTGCTGTCCCATCCTCTCCAGGCAGACAACTGCATCCTCCCAGAGTTCCAGTCGTTCATAGATTAGCAGCGCAGAACTTGTCAGGCCCAAATCAGTCAACAGACTCGCCAACTGCCTCTAAACACACACATACACACAAACAGCGAGCCAAGATCAGTCAACATGGCCCACCTTCCTCTAAATACAGACAGTATGTGGGAGGCACTCAAAAATATATATCTTTAGCATGTGTACAGAGCCAAAAATAAACCAATAAACCGGCTGCGTTCAGTGATTTGCAGTTCACTTTGGTTTATTTTGGTACTTTATTTTGGCACTTTACAGATATTACCAGGGGCGTCATTAAGCCATTTTATTTGAGGGTGCAACAGAAGCAGTTACCCCCTCCTGGCTCACTTTGTGACCTATCTGAAGGCACAATTACATTACGTTACATTAATTAATTAATTTATTTATTTTTTACAGATTTATATTTAGCGTGAATCGGGTTCAAATCACGACCTGGGATACATTATTTAAGATACATTGTTGAGAGATACATTATTTGATACATTACCTGAATTTTTCAAATGAATTTACTTCTAAAAGTATATATACTACTCAGAAAAAGTTAGGGATATTCGACTTTCGGGTGAAATTTATGGAAAATGTAAAAAGTTCATGCTACAGTGATATTATATCATGAAAGTAGGGCATTTAAGTAGAAACATGCAATGGTAAATTCTTCATTTCAAACAATTGATTGAAACAAAAGCTAACAACAGCGGTGGGTATACCACAACAAAAAATTTCAATGTCTCAATAACTTGTCATGTGTCCTTGAGCATTAATTACAGCTTGACAACGACATCTCATGCTGTTCACAAGTCGTCTTATTGTCTGCCGAGCCATAGCATTCAACTCTTCTTGAAGGGCTGCCCTTAGGTCATTGAGGTTCTGGGGTGCAGGGTTACGACCCTCTACACAACGACTCAACTGATCCCATAGGTTTTCTATGGGGTTCAGGTCTGGAGAAAGTGCAGGCCACTCCATTTGAGGATCCATGAAGATGAAATCAGGCCCGTGTTGCTCATGCAGAGGCACAATGACTGGAATAATGATATATATATATATGATGGTAGTATTGGCTTGTCACAGTACCATTCACAAGGTGTAGGGCAGTTCTGTATTCACTAGACACACCTGTCCAGACAGGCTCGTCTGGTGACAACAGTGGCTGATGCATAGCGTTCTCCTGGATGACTCCAACAGCTTTGGCAGCCATCATTTCTGCTTAATGGTAACCAACTTTCATCAGAGAACAGCACTGAGGCCCACTGGCTCCTCATCCAGCACAAATGCTCCCTGGCCCATGCAAGGCGATGATGCCTGTGTGCCTGGTGGTGTGGTCAGGTACCCTTGCAGGTCGTCTAGCACGCAGACCATGCTGATTTAAGCAGTTTCGAATGGTCTGACATGACACTCGGATGCCTCTCACCTCCCTTAAGTGTGCCTGGAGTTGAGTGGCATTCAACACCCGGTTCCGCAGGGCACTGTTCATAATGAAGCGGTCATCAGCATGGGATGTGGCCAAAGGACATCCACTTCTATGACTTTCTGTGACTCTTCCAGTCTCTCTCTGTTTCTGTTGCAACCTGCTGATGACACTCTGTGACACTCTAAGCTCAGTGGCAACTTCCCTCTGAGAACATCCCATTTGAAACCTCGCAATGGCCAGGTACTGTTGATCAATTGTTAGGTGTCGTCTTGGTCTCATGATATCAAAATGTGAACAGCATGATGAAGAGGACTGTTTAAATACAAACTGTCACTGAACCAGAACATTTAGTGGTCGATTCATGGATCAGACTTGATCAGAAAAACACTTGTGATTTTTGCAGTTAATCACCTTGTTAGAGAATAGCATGTTATGCAATAAGTACTGAAACATGTGCATTCAAAAGTTTAGAGAAGGTCAAATTAAGTTCACCTGTAAAGGTTATAGTGCATTTTAGGTGCATTCTGAAATTTCACCCGAAAGTCGAATATCCCTAACTTTTTGTGAGTAGTGTATATTATATGCAAAAGAGCAGTTTTGACATCTTGTTTCACAGAAAAAAAGTGACGAGTTTAGAGTGGCATTAAGAGTGGATACATGACAATTTTCATTTAAAAAAATTATGAAATAATTGGACAGTGTTTTAAACAAAACACCTTAAATTAAATGAAATAAAACTAAAATAAAATAAAAGATCCCTCTAGATGTCACCTACACTTCTCTACACCTTACCAAGGATATACACTGCCCCCCCTCCCCCTCTCATTTTCTGTCCGTTTTCTCTCTCTCTCACCCTCTTTCTGAAAGGATGCATTGCGCGGACGGCCATCTATCTCCACAATGTCATGCTTCACAGTCAGAGCTATATATACATCTGTGCTATTAATGACCCTCGTCTGTCTCTGATGAATGCTACTGGTTAAACGTGTGTTTACACTCTTTCAACTCTTTCTGTCATTCACAGATCATTTAAGAACAGATGGATGAAGTGCCAAAAAGGATGAAGAGTCGTAGGCTGTGTCCACTGTAAGTCTGTGTATTTCTGATAATAAATATACAGAGATGTGCTCCGCCCCCACTGGAGATCATCTACTGAAGTTTTTGATGCTGATTTATAAATCTGCTGTATTTGTGGAGAGTATAATCACACTGAACCAACATCACCCTCGACCTCGAATATCAGCGAGACATCACAGACACGTAGCTGCAAGCGGTTCAGCGGCAGGAAATGCTCAATTCCTGCTCAATTTCTCCTTCACCTTTCGGTCCTATGACAAACCTTCCCCCGCCTCCTCACCCGCCTTCAGTGGCATATCACGTCCCACAGGCATTATGGGTAGTACCTATAAACCTAGATATATATACACACCAGTGAGGCTGCCAGTGATCATGTGACCTATCAGCCAGGAGACAAAACATGATGCTACTAACTAATACAGAGAAAGAGAGAGAAACACAAACACACACACAGAGCTCTGCTCAGTATAAACACTTTCAGTCTTATTTTTCTTTATTCATCTTAAGTTTATTTCTTATTTATTTGTTCAATTAATGTTACATGTTTTAATATATAATTTATTTTTAAATGTTAATTGTAGTACTCTGTTTCATTTTATCTACCCATGACAATTAAACACCTTTACTTTAAACTACACATTAAACTTAAGAACACATATATATATATATATATATATATATAAAAATAAATCGATGAATGCACTTTTGGAAGTTGAATGTAAGGGAAATGTCATTTTGGAATTTCTGTGGTTTAATGTGATTTTGTTGTTCATGTATGTTCATGATGAAATTTTCTTTTATTGTTGTAATTAATTTATAGCATTAACAAGATGACCCGTTGAATTCTTTTTGGAGCTATGACTGATTGAATGTATTTTTAGTCCAGTGCCTGCATATAAGATTAGTATTGACCAAGTTCAGAGGCTGTCATATGTGTATGTCTATGTTGTGTATTTTCAACAGTTTCAATATGAAAAATAACTTTTATATTGATTCAATGGATTTATTGCATTATGGGAAAAAAATAATACAATTTTATAATAAATCTTTGAAAATCAAAATCTGGATTTGAATGTTTTATGTTATTATAACCTAAATATGCTATGTGAAAGTTTGAAACAGAAAATAGTGGTTTTCATCTTGCCACTTTCTTGGTAAAGAAAACACATTTTACTCAAATTAATCAAAATGGATTTATAGCATTTTGGAACTATATATATATATATATATATATATATATATATATAGTTACACACACACAACATTATATTTTGATATATATAACTTTATCGAATATCTTCTTTCCATTTAATAAGGTACTACTGCTACTACAGATTAAATTATTTACATTTTATTTTACTTTGAACTACTGTTATTTTATTTTATTCACACTGCTATTTTAATTTATCGTTCAATTTTACGACAGCAAATACAAACGCACAGTTTTTGTCTCGACAATAAAACACTAAATTTGAAAAAGTGACATACAGAGAGAGAATAAAAGTAAAAGTGACAGAGAAAGAAAGGCTTTGGGAGCCAATCTGTGCAACTTTTCTATCTTTTCATTTCCTCATTCATTTCATCTCCAACAAAACTGCCACAGTGAACGCTTTTCTGATTCATGCACATGCCAAAATGATTCAGTCTGAAAGCAAATCCAACAATTTCTGAAATCTGTTCCCAAAAAAACAAACAAAAAAACTCTTTATGCCCTCCAACGCTCTGCCGTCTCTTTACCCGACAGAAACACACACTTTTCTCTGGCTGCATGCTGCTCTTGTCTCTCTCTCTCGCTAGCAGTTTTGCAGCATTCTATTCCCCTGCCAGCAATAGAAGCGACTTCAATTCCAGCTTTATTGCTTTTCACTGTTATTACACAGAGTGTGAGCAATGTCATCCACAGGACTGATCACATCAGCCCTCCCTTTCTTTTCATCTATCTATCCATCCCTCCCTCCACCACTCACTCTCTTTTTCTATTCAGTTATTTCACTCCTTTTCTTTCGAAACCCTTCATCCATGCTGACCTGTTACAATTTGCCGTTCTCCTCCATACATCTTTTTTTTCTGATTTATTCACTTGTTTAACAACCTCTCTTTTCAGAAAACATTTGTATGCTTCACATTAGTTGCATTATTGCCCAATCAGGCAGGAATGGAGAGTTTAATGTTGCTCTATTACCTGACAAACACTGTCAAAATGAACTCATTGTCTCATATTCCTGGATGCCCTCACCGTGTACAGGAAATGAATTTCATATTCTATCTGCCAAAGTTCTTTTTGACGCGACACTGGCTGTATAACCCAGCTGTTGTGTTTACAGAAATGGGTTTCTGAGAAGTAGATAGATAAGTAACGGCTGCCTACGCTCATTTGAGGTGATTAGCTCAATGCACTTGTGCATCTGGTAATGACAGAAAATATGCAAGCTAATCAATTTAGGCACCAACAAATGAGTCAATAATTTCAGTTTCAAATTAACTCAGTTAATCTGGCTTTATAATATCTGAATTATCCCCTACATAAATTCAGACATAATGAAGATGAGAAAAAAAAAAAAACTCAATCAAGGGTAAAATGGGTTCCCAGACCAAAGTTCTTTTATGCATTTTTAAGCGCACACAGATCATGATCAGCTACACAGAGTTTCGTTTAAGCGTTCATTCATTCATTCACTCATTCATTCATTTGTAGGGTTTATGGAGATAATCCCTAGTTAAATGTGTGTGCATGCCATAAAAGGGAAGAGTTTTAAGAACATGAGTGTTTCGAAAGCATGATCATTTTGAGAAACCAGAAGATTTATATACACAAACAGGAATTCAGTTCACCTGTAGGTCCCAGAGATGAGGTGCCCGGCAGGTGTAGAACATCTTGAGTCTCTCAGTGACGGGACAGTTCTTCTCACTAAAGAAATCCACCAAGGTCTGAAAGAGAACAAAGTGACGTTTAGAACACTTCCAGTCTAATTTTTCAACCATTACTGCTTTCTCCAATGACATTTTTCTCTTCTGCCATTGCGATTATGGTGAAATAACGCAGATTTTCCTCAGAATTCGCTACAAGAAAACAAGGTAGTTCATAGAACTGAGCAGCCATGAGCAAGGATTTCAAATCATGAACTTCCGGAGAAACAACAGCCGAGCAGCACTCTCCAAGTATTACAGACCTCCATGGAACATAAAGACATTAATATAAAGAGCATTTTAATGCGCTTAAGGTTTGGTGATATGTGATATGTGATCATGTTAAAAACACCCCTAAGCAAATAATATGCATTGCGGTGCAAACAATTTAAAAACTATTCCAGTGACTCAACCATTCACATTAAGACCTAAATATATTTTCCAATCAGTAACAAGAAGATGGAAAAAAGTGACTGAGATGCATAAAATAAAAAAAATGACAAATTCCAAGAATGACGGCAATAACAAATAGATGTGCCAGCACATGCCAAAATTACAGCATCTTTATTCAATTTTTTTATGAGATCCCTCTCTGCTCTCCATGGAGAAACGCTACAGGGTTTGACTGCTGCGTAAACTCAGTTAAAGCATGTGCAGGCCTGCTGTTTGAGACTCTAGTAAAAAGATCAACACTCATTCTGTTCACAAACCATATTTCAACATTTCAAAAAGCAATAAGACAAAACACAATAACACAACGCAGCTGCTTACGACATGCAAACAAGGCCGCAACCACAAATTAGAAGCATCGTTGCCTGAAAATAACAGAGAGAGCACAAAATGTTGTTTTAGGTCATTACCCTACAAATTTTTGATTGACACCCCCAACTGTCAATCATTATGAACATATGGACTGCAAGCAGAACTAAAATGAAGAGAAGACAGGAAAATTGTGCCATACTGTACCAGCTTGAATATCTCCCCCCAGGATGCTGTAAATAACTTCATGTGGAACTGATGTCTGCAACATTTGAGTTCCAGAACATTTCAAAATCAAGCTAAAGAAAATAAATGCTACATATTCCACAAAATGCATTTTGTGAACTGACAACTAAATGCAATAAAGAGGTAATTTTCCAGCTCCAGTTGGGGGTTCACTTTGGAAGAAATTCATCTGGAAATAAAACTTCCGACTGAGTAGATACGATCAGTTTCTATGGAGGATGGCAAAGCTCATCTGTGGGTAGCAGATAACTAATTACTTAGCATTTTCATGGCTGGAAAATGCCTCAAATATATAAGTGCTAATCTACCGATCAGGAAGGGTTGAGGGAGCAGCTGAGAAATTAATTCCGATGTGGAAGAGCACCACGACCGCCCAGTAAACACACGCATATCACCGTGACGTCTATTAGACAGTGCATCATCTTTAAGCATTACAATAATTTTTTTAACAATTTTTGTGCACATAACATCTGATGTAGCTTTGAAAATTTAAATATTTGAAATAAATATTTCTCTCAAATGAAAAATATTTATTTTACATCAAGATGTTTTAAGCCAATATGCTGTTATTCGATATCTAAGAAGATATACAAATATTATTAAAATATATAAATTACATATCAATTCTATCATAATTTTCACTGAAGTAATTAAACCAGTACATTTGAATCTAAAATCCAAGAGTGTGCTTTTAAGGTGTACCCAGTATTTCTTTTATTAAAGAAAGAACAATCAACTAAAAAGCATCTTTGACGACTTATAAAACCATTAATCAGTTGTCAGTCAAAATAAGTAATGCACCGCATGCAAACAGTGCCTGAAAACTGAAACACAGTAATAACTAACAGAGTTATTGAAACATGCCACTGAAATTGTGGATAAAGGTACAGATTTAGGTATACATCTTCCATTGATTTTATGTAACGGAAAACTCAAAAATGACACTGCAATGACTAACAAAGTTATACTTGAGCTCTCTCTGCTCACGCCTTTTACAAAATGGGCCAAAGGAAACTCCCCCACAGTTGACAATTTGGCAGTTTAGTTTGGATTACATGTAAACCTTTCCATGGAGGAACTCCAAGAGCCAAATACTGCGGCAGGAGGAAATGACATCACTGAGCACACTTCATGACTCAGCATACTTTAAGAGAGCAGGACAAGAATAGCCCCTATGGAAACTCAAAATTCATTCACAGCAATTTAAATGCAATCTAGCATTAAAGTAGAAGAACCATAACTGCTTTAGCACTTTGTATTAGTAAAACTAGGCTAGTAGTACTTTTTAAAGACCTAACTAAAATCAAAAGTAGAGTTATGAGGCTTTCTGGTTCATGAGATCATCCATATGCTAGTGTATACAACAATATAACAACATATAACATAACAAAACATAACATAACATAACATAAAACATAACGTAACATAAAACAACAAAACATAACATATAACATATAACATAACATATCATGTATCATATCAAATATGATGTAACATAACATATATTTTGGGAGGTACACTGGACAATTCCTGATCATAGTCAAACTAAAAACAGACTTTCATGGAAGTTTAGTTTAAAACTGGGCTGGTTCACTGAGAAAAAGGAAGCTAAAATTGATTAAGATGATGAAAATACTTTATGTCTAGTCAGAGTCACTTACTTGTCATACATCTATACATGCAGTGTGCATCTGTTGTAGATTTAAATATGTATATATATATATATACACGTATATTAAAAACATATCTCCAGTGAATTACTTCAAGACAAAACTGTTTTTCTGCTCCAAAAATACGCAATGAAGTCTTTTTTTTTTTTCCAACGTTGCCACGAGAAGCCTAAATCCATACCAAAGACCCAAGCTTCCAACTTCTATTTCAGGGATATTATTGATTAAGCACTGAAATTGAATATTACGTTCAGAGAAATCTACTTCATCCAGTGCCTGATCGGAGTAAATGAAAAATAAGAGGGTGGCAGCCGATAGCGTGTGGTGTAAGCCCCGCACATGCAAATTGTGCAGTCACAAAGAGCACCTCTAATCCAACAATGCACCAGACGCTGCCATTCTGAATATACAATGGGAATAAAAAGTTTTCTGAAGTTCTGGCCCACTCCGTGGCCTAGATACCGGCGGCTCTAAACTGTGAGAAAAATGCAGAGCACATAGGCGAAGTGCCTCTCTGCCATTTCTGAATACATACTCTGCACTCTTGATCTCAGAAGAAAGGCCAGAGGAGGCAGAGGAAATTAAGTTTGTCAAGTACCGCAGTGAAACTCGAACCGCAGCGAGACAGAGGAGATAAGAGTCTCTGCAATATTCACAGAATGTCACGACTGTTCAGGGTGGAAACAAAAATCTTTCTGGATTGATTACATTATCTGTGAAGTTGATGAGTATTTATGAATGATTGTGTAAAAATGTTCAGTATGTTCCTGGAATTCACTCAATCAAGAACAAGAATTTCAGCCATTAACGGAGGCCTGTGTCAGCAGACAAGTAGATGATTCATTTAATTAAAAGGAATCCAAACAGCTAAACATGCAATAAAATTGCCTGAAAAATGCCTTTATCAATCAAGGAGTTTGTAAGTCAAACTCTATAGCGCCACCATCACCACAAAATTAGAAACATTTACAGTTTCATCAGAATCTAAACAAAATGACTGCAAACAGTCGCCGATGCTTAAGGCAACACACAATATTAAGAACAAAGCCTATGTAAACTTTCGTAGGGCGCAATTTGTACAAATCAAGTTATCATCATCTTGTAGAAAGAATATATGCGAACATCTTTTATATAGCTTCTTCAGGGCAGTACTGAAACAATTTTTATGATCTTATTTTTCAAATCGAAATCACTCTTATTAAAAAAGAGCTAAACACATTCCATATTTGGCTAAAGGGCATGCAAACGGTTGAGAAAAGAGAGGTATGTAAACTGTATGTGGATTTGAACTTCAACAAAGCGCTACCTGACTTTCTTCAACATTTTCCTCTCTCTCCCTCATCTTTTTAACGTTGTTAAAAGTGTTTGGTCCTTCTTCACTCATCTGAGAGTGTGCTGTCACTCTCTCGCCATTGTTCCGGGGTCCTGCTCAGCTGGGAATGAACTCGCCTGGAACCATGTTCCTCTAACTCTGTGATGGACAGGTGTTTGTGTGACTTGCTGTGATCTCCTGTCGGACTCAAACTTGCCCCTCAGGGTGGCCTCATAGAGTCAGCCTCCCCTAACGATCTGTCACATTGAGTTTTGGGATGTCAGAGAGCAGCTTAAACACTTAAAATTTAAAGGAAGGAAAAAAGCAGTCAAAAAAAAAAATAATTTAGAGAGCAATGTGTCACATCGAACTCTGCTCACTAATAACCTTCCATCAGTCATATGTTCATACAGAAAGTGTCTCTATAGGCTCTTAACTGATGATCAACTTCAGCGCTCATGGTCATGTCTATGGACATCACTTGAGCTCAAAAAGAGGGATGTCATCATCAGCCACAGCAAAAAGACAGTTTAACTACTGCAACACTTCTTTATCTGTGTTTTGTCAGCAGCAGACAGTGCTAATAATAATAACTGTAACAATAAGTAAAATAAAAACTACTAGTACTACTACAAATAATAATAATAATAATATAAATGGATTGAAATGTATAATTGTATAATTAATGTATAATTAATATAATTTGGTGTTTCCCACTAGAGTTGTTTATAATAATAATAATAATAATAATAATAATAATAATTTGTGTCTCTCGCTACAGTAGATTTAGGCAGACAGGCGTGTTTTCACTAGACTAGATTTTAATTTATGACCATTTAAGAAGCCCTGCCATTCAAATATGACTGATGACTCTATAAACTTAAACCATAACCTGAGCAGTAAATCCCTTTCAGAGCAGAACAGATGCTTCTGAACAGCTATATAATGTCTCTGAGTGGTAAGATGGATTTACACAGTGGACAGAATGTGTCACAGTCCTACAATGAACAAATTACAATAAATAAAAAAAAAATCCAATCTGGAACAATGGACAAATGAACCAGTTTCTTTGACAATGTGACAAGTCTTTCTGCTCCTCAGAAAGTCATTGGAAGCCGTACAATTTAATTTGATCAAGAGGACAAGAAGGGCCAGGCTGTCCCGTTTCCTCCAGAGCACAGGGCGACAAATCCCATTCTCCAATCCTCCCTAAAATCCCCCCCCACACACAAATGCAAAAGAATACACACCAAACATTTCAGCACTTCTTTGGTTTTACTGTTCTGGATTTTCCTCAGTAAAACATGGACACAAACGGTCATGACAAATGACAGAGGAAACGGGAAGCAGCCAAAGGGAAGCTAAAGCATCCTATTCCCTCGGGCTTATCTTTCCATTTCTCTTGCACACACACAAATGCAATAAAAACAACAGAAGGAAATCTGGGATCTCATTTCTCTGGGTGCTTTAAAATTGTGAAACTATTACACTGAAGCCAGTAAATGTATGAATCAGCATTCTGAATGAAGTGTCACTTCCTTACAGCTCATTAAAGAGAAGAAATGTACAGTCTGTGACTAAAACAATGACTACGGAGTCTCTGGCTCCTAGAATGAAACAAGAAGTGGTTTTTAAGTTTATTTCATGTTTTTAAAAGAAGTCTTCTATGTTCACCAAGACTGCATTTATTTGCATATTGTGTGAATATTGTGAAATATTACCACTATTAAAAACAACGGTTTTCTATTTTAATATGTTTTAAAATGTAAATTATTCCTGTGAAAACAGTTGTACTGCTTAATATTTTTGTGAAAACTGTGATACATTTTTTCCAGCATTTTTGATTAATAGAATGTTCAAACGAAATAGAAATGAATCTGAATATCTTCAGTAGCATTACAAATGTTATGGTCAATTTTGACCAGTGGAATGCATCCTTGGTAAATAAAAGTATTAATTTCTTTCACTCACCCCAAAACTTTGAACAGTAGTGTAGTTATTAAAAAAAGATTGGCTTGAAATAGTTGTTCAGAAGTGTTTTCATACATCTCATGTGCTATTAAAATCTATTGCAGTGGTTGACGATCCACCGGGAGATGCAACTGTAAGTCTATTAAAAGATCAGCTAGCATGTGGAATAGTTGCAGACTGTGGAATACACAGACTTTGTCCTTATTGTATTTGTATGTTTTATGAGAATATTTCTGGCAAAGAACACATTATGAGTGTGCATGTGGGTTCTGAACTGTGTCTTACCTGTGTTTGCATCATGGCACGCTCAACTCTCCGTGAGCTTCCTCTCTCCAGCTTAGTCCTCAGGCACAGTGATGTCACTTCCACTGCCCAGAACTTTGGCTGAGACAGCAAACACTGAGGAAGAAAAAGAGAGATGAAAATATCACTCAGGGTGACAAAGATTTTTCACACCCCCATTTTCATGCATATGAAATCATATGTGCAACTGTATTGTAAAGCAAGAAGAGAAATTCCTCTCACATTCTCAAACACAGTGACAGCAATCATACAAATACCACAACAATTTAAAAAAGTTATCTACAACGCATACCCCCGACAAACACACACCACTCCCTGCTTACAGAGACGTGAGCGTTCGCTGGCCTGTATCACATCAACAGAGCAGCAGGTAAGCAAGGGTTAGTGGACTCATCCTGTCTTAACTGGAGCAAGACTGACACGTCAATACTGAATTAAAATATATGAGGTGTCTGTTACAGCACAAGGATTTCAAGAACTCTAGAAACACATATCTGTGCATGTGAAAAGGCTTTTAAGTGGTAAATGCAAGGCTGTATATACTATTGAGCAAACCTTTGCATATTTACATTTATGCATTTGGCAGATGCTTTTAAAACAAAGTGACTTCCATTGTATTCAAAGTATCACATTTTTTTAATCAGATCTTTGCTAGCGCCATGCTGCTGTTTGACCTACAGGAATTAAACAATAGCTCAACTGTAAATCCAATTGTAGCTATTTTTTTTTATCAGTTCTTGCTTTTCCTAGGAATCGAACCTATGACCTTGTCATTGCTAGTGCCATAGTGCCTAGGGCGGGACAGATCACGATGCCGGCTCAACATCGTGATGTCTGTCAGCCATCGGCGATGGACGATGGCATCGTCTATCGGCCCAACCCTAATGGCCAATACCCAATTAGCAACAATAAATAAATAAAAATACTAAACAATGAATAAATAACTAATTAAATAATTAGTGTTTTTAAATATTAACTCTAAATGAGTGTTAGATCATGGAAAAGGTCATCTAAAATGTAAAAATAGATTGTGTACAATGATGGAGGGACCCAGGCCACATCTAGTTCAAATATGCGCTTGTACATCTTTATAAGATTAAAATAAATCAAAAGGTAAATCAGCAAGCAGTCATTTAGCAGATGATTTTATCCTAAGTGTCTTACAGTACACTTAATACAGATGCTGGCAACAACTGAAATGCCAAAAATATTCCTTATATTGATGAAACAAATGCTTAAAACTAGAAATGGAGGCTCTGAAATGTGAAGAGGAATTAGTGGCAGCAACAGTGATCAGATCATGGGATCACAGCGCCAACAATAAGAGAAAGACAATAGTAAGTCTACCCAGAGTACAGTAAGTCAATAAGAGACAATGAACCACAGTCAGACCCATGAGCAGTGAGCCAACTTGGGAGAGACAGAAGAAGAGAAAGGGAGAGGAAGGGTTGATCCTGGCCTTCTTGGACAGCAAGAAAGAGTATGAGTAATGGAGTATTTGTGGTCAATGAACACACACATATTGAAATAATGAGACATATACAGTGGTGTGAAAAAGAAATATTTAAGTATTTGGCTCTGTGATGAACATCATAGCAAATACACATGAATGAATGGCTGTTTAAATCATTTAAGCACGATTCAGAAACAAAGTAGATAGAGCAGCTGCTTTGTTTACAGGGTTTCATTTAAGTGAATTATTATTATTATTATTTCTGCAGTTTAGCGCCATCTGCTGTCAGAGTGAAAGTGCACTTTCATCCAGAGCGTCTCTCACATGTTCCACCATGTGCTTCTCGTCCGCGCTTATTTACATCAGAGTGCGCATGCATCTTTCACGCAGCATACAGCGGTGTTGTGCATTTTGACCAGTTGATGGGAAAAGTATTCTTAAAATGCATTCAAAATTCTGAATAACTTGTAATATATAATTATTCACGGTATTTAGAAGAGCCCACGATAACAACATCGTGCATATTCATTACCGTGATATATCACATTACCGAATACCGGCACAAGTCTAATATATCATGATTTCAAGCACTATATCTGGATATCAGGAAAGGGTAACAGCACTTCGGTCCCCTGACCTACAAAGGGGAAGAAAGGAAAGAGAAAAAAGCACCGGAGTGTTTACATGTGATTTATGAGGACTTCAAGCCTGACTCATCAAACTCTAGCTCTTAAACCCGACATACACTTCAAAGCCTTCCCATCTTGCTTTTTAACTTCAAAGATCAGATATGCTGTGAAACACTGCTCACCCTCATCCTCCCTGTTTTTACAGCCATTTAATATGTGTAAGACACAGAATTTACTACATTTTACTACAACAGCAACATTGTGTTTTTTTATATTCAAGTATTTAGAAAAAAGTCTGTTGAACAGCAACATGTTAGTATCTCTTCTCAAATATTAAAAACACCCCCCCCCCTTCTATATATACACATACAATATACAAATGTGCTCTTCCAATTTCAGTTGTTCGAATTCCGTTTTTAACTATGACAGTGACTATTTGAATTTAAACCATTTCGCATCAATAAAATTCTATAAACATTGATCCTCAAAAAAAATGTATCACACATAAAATACACAAATAAATAAATATCACTCTCTGGAAATGCAAAAAGAGCAGAAAAGTATTGTGACTTCATGGTGTATTTTAAACCATATTTATAGACAATGAAGCACAAACTCAATGAACTAAGAAGTCTGACATTTAAATGTGCTGCCAACATTGATGAATTTGTCTTACAAGACTGGCAAAATGGCAGCGGATTTATTTTAAGAGGAAAATGGTTGTGGGCGCTGCTGAGGAGTAATGTTTCTGTAAAAAACACGTCAGTCTTCTGTGGTCCATTTTCTCACTGTGTGTTAGCCTACTGTACGGTGGGGGTCTATATTTATCTGTGTGGAAACGTCTATATTTAAATTCACCCTTACTGTAACAGGCCTCACCCCAACTCTGTCTACAGACACAAGGGCTCCAGCAAGACTACACTGCAAGAGCGTGTCACCAGTTGAGCTGCCTACCCAGACAGTATGCAGAAAAGTTATGCTGCCTCATAAGACACTTGATCTATGGCATGTATCATCACAGACAAAGCAGCCTCGATGCATTGCATCTAGCTCAGCATTAAAAAAAAATGGCAGAAATTTAATATAGCATTGAAAAATATTGATAGAAAACAGACAAAATAAGTAACAATATGAAGTGTTTAATCAAAGGTCTGGCTATATGTGAGACTAAGCTTCTTGTGCTACATATGTAGAGCATCTCAACTCACTTTTCAGATAGGACGCCATATTAGAAGATATCTTCTAGACACTAGAAAGCAAAACGTTTAAGGTTTGGTACAGCATTTCTCAGTTTTGGACAATCCTTCAAAAAATAAACCTGGCTATGTCTCTGAAGCACTGATGAACAATGAATAACAGAGACACTTCGGATGTCTCCAAATGGGCTGAACGTTTCAGAAAACTGAACGGCTGAACGGAAAAGGCAGAAGCTGTTAGTGACATAAGCATTTTGGCAGTCCATCTTTTGGAAACTCAAGCTGATAGTGTGTGGATTTTTTTGTCTTTTTCCCAGCAAAACGTCCTGAGTTCTCTCTAAGTGTGTGCTATCTATCTTTCAGAGGAGCATAACCCAGGGTGCAAATCTGAGATCTGAACCTGATAACACAAGATCCCCGAGGGGGCGAAGAACGAACAGCGCCACACCAAGGTCAGACAGAATCCAAGACAAAACCCAAACTCACTCAGACCATAACTGCATTGGGATGCACAAAATTGAATACAATTACAGTAATACATAAAAAAAAAGCAGCTTCAAAAAAACAAACAGCCAAGAAGAGAGAAAAAGCCCTCAAATGTTGGTGCTCTGAAAAGGCAGTGGGCTTCCAGAAATAAGTCAACAGTCTCCATTTGGTTTTAAGATTAATATCAATCTAAAAAAAAACAGATTTTGTGTGTGATACCAGGACAAAGCCTTACAAAGTAGAGGAAGTAGAGACTGTTCTCAGCACAAGAGGATCTAGTACACAGTGGGTGACACATAGTCCTATGCTGTGAATACACACACACACAACGAGCAAGAAAAACAAATTCCCACCCCAAGAGGTCTCGCTGCTCACTGCAATGCCACGTTGACAAGATGATTATCACAAAGCTGCTTCCTTCCCTGGGGAAGAACCACCACCAAGAAACAACTTCAAGCTACTGACCCCTCCCTCTCCTTCCAGAATGGCACCTCTCCGCATGCTTCTGCCGCTCTGAAAATCCCGTGTTGCTATGGTAACAGTATCAGGGCTCGGAAATGGGAGGGAAGGCACTTTAATCACCAGACCAGCCCAAGACTGAGACGGTGTATGGTTAGTTACTTTGCAGGATATAACTATATTGGACTACTAAGCTTTAATGTCAAAATGAAACTGAAGTATCCATTTTCTTCTGTACTGTGATGTAAATCCAAGTAAAACTGACTGCCAAAAAAAGAAAAATGTAAGGCGGAGACTTTGTTCTATTGATCGGTTGTTGATTGGATATACTGTAGGCAGATCTGAATGAGCTTGCAGTCAAATAGTACGAAAGGGGTGGGTTTAAGGGAACAAAATGATTGGAGAAGTCTTACATATGCCACTAAAGAGAAATTGTTTGACTGGAAGATCAAGTTATGACATTTTGATTAAAATTCAAGTAAAAAAAAAAAAAAATCATTCACAAAATCATGTATTAAGACATCTGTAAAAACATGTATTAAGACCTCTCATTCATCGTGACTGGCTCAAAATACCCTTGATCATTCACCAATTTCACGTTTCACCAATCCCTATAACCTTTCTTGGCGAGGGATTTTGTTTTCAAAATTATAAATAAGATAAATAAGATGTATGCAAGAGTAAGGTGATTTTAATCCTTCAGGAAGTTTCCAGACCAGATGAAAGACACGGATTCTTTAGGAACTCTGCTTTCCATTTTTCATGACTTTATGCACCTGAACTCTGATATATGAAAATATAAATCAGTGGATGAAATCGATCCAGTTTTCCAAATTCAACCCAATCTTAACCAATAACTACTATAGCAAAAAA